TATTCGATATAAGGGTGTATTTTTATGTTTCCCGATCAGTAAATTTTGAAAATGACATCCATTTTATGTTTACGCCACTGTGTTTTGATTTATTTAAGTTTTTAGAATTTATCCAATATAAAGGTCTACTTTTATGTTTCTGGAGCCGTAGATTTTGAAAACGACCTCCATTTTAAGATTAGGCCACCGCGTTTCGACTTATTTGAGTTTTTCGGATATTTTTCATATGAGGGTGTATTTTTATGTTTCCGGAGCTGTAGATTTTGAAAATGACCTCCATTTCATGATTACGCCATTGATTTTCGACTTATTTAAGTTTTTCGAATTTAGCCAATTTAAAGGTCTACTTTTATGTTTTCGGAACCGTAGATTCTGAAAATGACCTCTATTTTATGATTACGCCACTGCGTTTCAACTTATTTAAGTTTTTAGAATTTAACAAGTATAAAGGTCTAATTTTATGTTTCTGGAGCAGTAGATTTCCCCCATTTTGTAAATGACCCAATTTCAAGTTTATGCCACTGTGTTTTGGATTATAAAAGTTTTTTTTTTTACTTTTTCGGTATAAGGATCTACTTATATGTTATCCGAGACGTATTGAAATTTTTCTAATCTTTAATATTTAAATTTATCTAATATTTAAGCTCCATTTTATGATTAAGCCGCTGCATCTCGAATAATTAGGCTTCATTTTGGATTTTTTCAATACAAAGTTTCATCAATATGTTTTCGAGTATGAATAAATAAATAAATATTATGAAGCTAAAGTTAAATTAACCACAGAATACAAACTAAAAAGCCGAAAAGCAGCTGGTAATAAATTTAACCTTCCGTATTCAGATTTTTCAGCTAATTGTTCGAAATCTTATAATTTTGTGACAGGAGACCACAACATTAAAAAAGATAACTAAAATTAAATTAAAAATGAGACAATACATATTTTATTTATTTTGATTAGATATTTTTATTTATTTATTGAAAAATAAATTAATCCTTCGTATTTTGTTTTTTATTCGAAGGAAAAATCAAAAACACTTAAAAAAACCGAAACACAGTGGCCTAATCTTAAAATGTAAGTCGTTTTAAAAATCTAAGGCTCCGGAATCATAAAAGTAGACCTTTAAATTGGATAAATTCGAAACACTTGAATAAGTCGAAACGCAGTGGCGTAATCTTAAAATGGAGGTCATTTTCAAAATCTACGGCTCCGGAAACATAAGAATACACCCTCATATGAAAAAAATGAAAAACTTAAATAAGTCGAAACGCGGTGGCCTAATCTTAAAATGGAGGTCATTTTCAAAATCTACGCTCCGGAAACATAAGAATACACTCTCATATGAAAAAAATCCGAAAAACTCAAAGAAATCGAAACGCGGTGGCCTAATCTTAAAATGGAGGTCGTTTTCAAAATCTACGGCTCCGGAAACATAAGAATACACCCTCATATGAAAAAAATCCGAAAAACTCAAATAAGTCGAAACGCGGTGGCCTAATCTTAAAATGGAGGTCGTTTTCAAAATCTACGGCTCCGGAAACATAAAAGTAGACCTTTATATTGGATAAATTCTAAAAACTTAAATAAGTCGAAACACAGTGGCGTAACATAAAATGGAGTCGTTTCAAAATCTACGGCTCCGGAAACATAAAAGTAACCTTATATTGGATAATTCAAAAACTTAAATAAGTCAAACACAGTGGCGTAAACATAAAATGGATGTCATTTTCAAAATTTACTGATCGGGAAACATAAAAATACACCCTTATATCGAATAAGTCAAAAAAACTTAAATGATTCGAAACGCAGTCACTTAATCTTAAAATGGGGTTATTTTCAAAACTAGGTACAGGACAGCATAATACTAGTCCCTAATAAATCCGAATAGGTACAATAAATCGATATCCGTAAGTGAAAATTCTACTTAGGAGAGCATAATAATAGACTTTCATATTGGAGGGGGGGAGGGGATGGCCATTATTTAAAAAAAATATATAAGATTTACAAAAAATTAAAACATTAATTTGAAATGAAAACGGTTGAATTTGAATTGGAAAAGGTTTAATTTGAAATGGAAATGGTTGAATTTGACTTGGAAAAAGTTTAATTTGATCTGGAAAAGGTTGAATTTGACTTGGAAAAGGTTGAATTTGACTTGGAAATGACATAGAAATATCACACTGAAAAAATCTAAAATGTTAAAATAAATGGATATGCAACCGCGTTATCAAAATGTTTTTTGTATTTTTCAAAAGCTATGCCTTCGTTAATATAGTAAGTGGCCTTCATTTCGAAAAAAATCGAAAATTGACAAAAATTCGAAAGTTGAATTTGAAATGGAAAAGGTTGAATTTGACTTGGAAAATGTTGAATTTGAAATGGAAAAGGTTTAATTTGACATGGAAAATGTTGAATTTGATTTGGAAAAGGTTGAAATTGACTTGGAAATGCTATATATATATTTACTATGCTCATATATATATTGATGATAGTGTATATTTGTAAATTAGTTTAAAGATTGTCCATTGTATTAATTGATAAGTATGCTGTGTCTGTAGCAACCCAATATAATTGGGTAGCACCCTTTTATGAAAATAAAGTGATTCTCTCTACTTTGAATTTGATCGTAGTAATTTTTTGAACTTCAAGTAAGGCCAGATATAATACTTTAATTTTGTACTTTGTTGTTATTCTAAAGGGACTTCGTCCCAGAATAAAATTATTTTTCTATTCTATTATGATTGTGATAAAAATTATGCATTTAAACATTTTTAATTTTATTGCTGAAATCCATGATATTTATTAAATCTATTTATTCGTTTTTATTTTTTCTTGAACTTTTCCCACGTATATGTTATTAAATGGCGGAGAAAAAAAAAATTATAAAATCACGTTCGGATATCAAAGCTTCGTATATGTAGTCCCCAATCAGAGGCGAAACTACAACTAATAGGGATACTAGAAACAGAAAGGCTTCCTGTATACATCTGTGGATGATTATTTAGCGACATTAAATATAATTGGCCAATTATTCTATGATGAAAGCCAAACATTTCTATTAAATTTGAATGAGTATAATATCTTCCAAATTTTCATTTATATTCCTAAACAGTCTCCTTTATGCTTAAATTGCCTCTTGGCCATAAAGATATTCTTATGATAAGATTGGTTTGCCAAGTCCGATGCCATTACGAACTAAACGTTTTTTGTAAACTTTTTATTTATAAAATTATCCAAATTTTCGCCTCTTCAGGGATAATCTGATTTTACATGTAATTTAAATTTTCATATGAAAAAACATATCCAAAAATTCGCTTGTAGTACCCACTTGCACACTTAGTCAAAGAACACAACCGAATCTATTCTATTAATTTGAAATAAAGTAATTCTTCATCTAGACTGAAAAGGCCTTTTTTTAATAACACTTATAATAGCCTCTTTCCCAAGATCTTCTTTTATAAAATAAAGTATAAAAAAAAAGACGCATTTACAAAAGCTATAATCATTTCAATCGAAAATTTTAAGACTAATAACAGCAGCTTCCTAGTATGTAAACAACAAAACTTCACACACCGACTTACGACAACCAACTACGACCAACACATACGTACTATTTACTCCCGATTTCATATTAAACTACACGAGCACAACAATTGACTTATAAACGACTTGGCCACAACTGACATACACATCAGAAGGCGACTGAATTAGAGATCTTTCCTAAATTAAGGAAATAAACCAGGAAGAGGTGCTGCTGAGTACTATTCTTCCTCATGCCTCTTAACAATAACAATACGTCTGCTTATTGTCAGACTTATACCAGGTGTGGATGAAGACAAAAAAATGATCCATGGAATTTAAAATGGATATTTATGCCATTATAAAAATAATTTAAAACCTTTTTAAAAGTGTACTGTTACAACTTGTAATCTGTTAATATCATGTTTGTAATTTAAAGTAGGTCAGAGCGGTAGAAAAATAAATATATGAGGAAAAATAATTAAAAAATAAAAATGAATATGAATAAATAAATGCAAGAATTAGTAAATGCAAGAGGAAGTAAATAGGCTAACGTGAATAAACAAAAGTCCGTAACAATAAAGGGGAGCAAGTTCAGCAGATTTTAAACGGCTATTTATATTTATATCACATAATACATGTAATAATGCTGATTTTTGGGGAGTGAAAAAGGCGGAGAGAAGGAGGGGAGAGGGTGGCCGAGCGAACTAAAGCGTGCGCACAGCACCATGCGTTGCCTAGCAACCTGATAACCAAGATTTGAGATAAACAGATAATTACAAGTTCCAATACCGGTGACCGGTGGGACATTTAACTCGGTATAATTCCTCTGCCCACTCCCCCGAACGAGAAAAAAACAAAACAATCATAGCCTTAAAGATAAAATGTTTTAGTTTATGATGTTTTATTTGAGGAACTGCACTGTACAAGAAGAATTGGAAGACTTATGGAAAAGCTAGATGGTTGGACAGCGTGGAACACTAGCGAATTTAGGATTTAATTTGTGGGGGGAGGGAGAGGAGAGGATGGCTTCAGCCCGAAAGTTTTTTTTTACATATTCCTAGTTCTGCCATAAATACTGTAACAAAAGTTTAACTTTGTTTACATCCTTGGGTATAATTTAGATAATTCCCACCTCGAACAGGTTATTTTCTTTACATGTCAGGATAATAATCCCAATTAGTTTGTATTTTTCTTTCGCTCAGTTAACATGGGATGAGGTGATAAAGAAAACCGAATAGCTGTGATCGCCTTACACAAAGTTGGAAAATGTAGTCAGAGATTTTCAACACTTTGAAACGTTTGGGTATCTGCCGTATGTTCGTGCCCTATAAATAGATATGATGAGATCCTATCTGTATGTGGCAGGCCTCGACCAGGACCGTCACCGCACTGTGGGAACGGCAAATGCAGTGAGAGCAGTAGCTGTTTGAATCAGAAGAAATTCCGTTTAAAACAACAAATCATGTCTCGGTAAATGGTTATCTCTGTCAGATCAATGCCTAGCATAATAAAAAGTGACCTTAGGATGGGTGAATATCGAAGAATGACAGAAAAAAAGGCTAATCACTTCCCTAAAAATAATTAGAGTGGATAGAGACAAAGTGCTCCTTGGCCATAACACCAATGGTCTTCATCGAAATATTTTGTTTAGCGATGAGAAAATTTTTACTATTGAAGAGAAATTTAATCGCCAAAATTATAATGTGTACGCTCACAACTCTAAAGAAGCCCAGGAAGTCATTGGAAGAGTGGAAAGAGGTCATCACCCTTCTTCAGTCAGTGATGGTTTGGAGGCGAGTTGGCACCACAAAGCTCCATTTTTGTGAAAAAGGAGTTAAAAAAGGCACTAAAAACTGACGATATTTTAGAACTGTTGTCAAGCCTCTAAATGATACTCTGTTTGCTGGAAGTCGTTGGGTTTTCCAGCAGGATTCCGATCCAGCTCACAAGGCCAGGTCAACTTAGCAGTGGCTGCAAAAGAACATTTCAGAGTTCATCTCTGCCCGAATTGGCCCTCAGGAAGCCCTGATGTCAACCCATCAGATTATTGGCTTTGGTTCGAACTGGAGAGGATGGCATGCACATTCTAACTTGGGAAGCCTAAACAATCTCTGAGCAATTGAGCGCTTTCCTAAAGAAGTGCTGCGTGCTGCTGTCGATGACTGGCCACGGAGATTAAATGTCTGTATCAAGGCAAAAGGGCGACATTTTGCGTAATTTTTTTGTTGTTTTACTCTCTATAGGTATACATTTTATTTTCTAATAAAGTTTTTGAAAAAATTAATTTTTCTGTTGAAATTTGCATATATTTTCTTGTAACAATATTTATGACAGGACTAGATATATAACGATAATTACTTTGGCAAAATAAAGAAAGATACGAATTACCTACATTAAATGGTGTTTTAGTGATTCTTGAAGTATTATTAAATGTAATTACACCAACAATAATACTTTAAGAGATAATTTTTTAATATCTTTTTCCATAAATCATGGTTACATTTTACCATTTTGAGGAGGCTCTTGGAGAAGGCTCGGATTCAATGAAGGATTTATGCAACACCTACGTATACACAGTATACGTATGTACCTATATTTGTATACACAGAGAGAAAACTCAATAATCGTATAAACAATAAGAGAATACTTTACAAAAGCATATAGATGGAAAAAAAAACTACAATTATTGCATTTCCTCTTTTTGGTAAATTTCGATATTTGTGACATGGAGGTTGCATTCATAATTTACACTATTAGTGCAAGTCAAACCAAGACTGAATATAGTCCGGGGGACAGCTGTAAACTAAACACCTATGATCAGCAGAAATAAGAGCAATCCCTAGCAGTAAAAATAGCTTGATCAAAGGAATTTGACGAGCCTTTCAGCAGAAATTTCAAGGATAAAGGTGCTTGACTAAGTGTTGCGTGATTTTAAATTTTACGGTTTAATAAAAATTGATAAGAAATATATATTTATATATATATATATATATATATATATATATATATATATATATATAAAACCTGTACCACTACAACCCATAAAGGGTCTGGGGTTCAGTACTATTTAGGAAAAGCACTGTTTCTAGGTCAACGGTTGTGCAATGAGGTGATTTGACCGAGATCACACTCAACCGCCAGGTTTTCCCCCTTAATTAATTATTTAATTAAGGGTACCCACTTTATAGAGGCTGGGTGTGCCCCAGGAGGGTCTCCCAACCCGGGGTAAATTTTCTGCCATGAGCCGGGGTTCGAACCTAGGACCTTTGCATTGGAAGCTCAGAGCCCTACCACTGAGTTACCCCACTCCCCTGTATATATATATTGCATAATATTGCAAAATTACTTTTCTCTCAGTGAAATCAAAACATTGGGCACTTAGTGTAACTGTATTTGATATATAAAAGAGTTGGTGTCATTTTGGTGCGCATGCTTTTCTATCCTTAAATTATGTCGAAAGCAACAAGCATCGAATTTAGCACCATCTAAAATTTAAAGGGAAATCACAGCAAGTTGATCACCAATTTCAACCGATTTTTTAAATTTTTTGGTGATACATAAAAAAATATAACAAAAATGTCCCGACGTTCGTTCAAAGGGCTTTAGGAACCGAGGAACAATTATTTTAAATATTTAAACAAAATTTTGCTTCAATCCAACTGTTTTAAGGACCCAACAAAATATTTGTCAACAGTATTTCTCATTCCTGGTGACTAAACATCACATGTTCCGACGAAATCTAGAGATTTTGTAGGTTTTTTTCATGAAAAAAAGTTCTTTAAGTTTAAAGAAGATCTATGTCAAATTTATTTAATATGGACCTATAATCTCAAGGATGATTGCTTAAAAGGATTGGGTTTACTAAACTCAAGTTGAAGAGCTGATAGGCTGAGTCTCATGACGATCTAACAATCTACAACAACAACAAGAACTAAGATGGAATGTGGATCGGTAGTCTACGGTTCAGACAGAATATCTTTTCTGAGAATACTGACTGAATGTAGTTGACTAAGCTGCTTTTAGGATATGCAGTTGGGAGCGCAGAACATTGTTTGTCCAAACCATCTATATAAAGTACAGAACCTCCATTGAAATTATTAATAGTATAACCTTTTTTGTCTTAAAATGCATTGCCCAAATGGGAATATTATTTAATTGACTCATCTGTAGTGCCTATATTATTGTGCAAGGGAAAACAAAATAAATAATCTTCGAACATTTAATAACAGAACCTCAACAGGTGATTATTTGCAAAATTATTTTCATGGTCATGCAATTAATAGGATCAGATAAGATTAAAAGCTAAGAACATTTATGACCAAAAAGAGCGACGACTAAGCAGTTAATGGAGATTATGTAAGAGGCATTTTCCCATTTGTTAAAAATCATGTCGTTTTTTATTTTCAAATTTCTTTTTCGGAATGTAAAATGTATATCATAAAATATTTTTTTTTTTTTTTGACACAGTAATGCATTGAATGCTGTGACAGATAGATTTAACATAACTAGTAAGTAAATAAAAAAATATGGTCACATAACTTTCACTTATCAACCTTCGCGTAGATAGCTATTTTCATACATAGGGAAGTTAAAGTGAAAACGACGGTGTAATTATATTTAAAACAATTAATTACCATATTTTCCCACCCATTGAACTGTTAAATGTATACGTTTGCGTCACATTCCATTCCCTTTTACGATTGTATAGTGTGTATAGTATCAAACAATAATAACGATTGTGAGAAAAAAATGGATGTTTTGGAAAATTTTGAGTCTTATTGGAAACATTTAATACAAAACTCGTCGAAAAAATAATTTAATGCTAGTAAAGATTGTATATTATTAGGTTTAGTTTAGTAGGTCCTCAACATTTTGCGTGAAAATCATTTTAAAAATCATGGATGAAGGATATATATATAAGGTACACAAACAATATGAAAGCCCTGTACAGAGGGTTATCGGGTAACTACAAAGAGACAGGATCGGCAAAAGTCGGGCGCTCTCGTCTTAGTTCCCAGTCCTTACTTCTCCTTTAGTTAGTAATAAAATTCTTTCATATCATTATGTCATGTTCCAATTTTAAATGGTTAATTAATTAAAATATAGATATTTTTTTTTATTTATTCATGAGATTTACAACTGTATAAATTAAAAATATATCCAGTAAATGTGCACAAGGTAATAACACAATCACATAAAAAAGCTTGTTGAGAAACTACCCATTGGTAGCACTCTAATAATATATTTACATAAGTAGATCACAAGGCCATCTTCTTTTCAGACCCCTTGGAGGGTTATCAGGTATCGAAGAGGAAGCAAAGTTTGAGACGAGAGGATTCGGATGGAATTATTTTAAATAAAAACAATGAAAGGCACTTTAGAGGAACAAATTTGGAAACTAAGGAATTTTAACCCTGTTAGAAAACATCAATAAGAATAAGGCCTATATTATATTAAAAATAGATTAATTTTACACTGGTACAATGGATTCGATCAAAATCGTTAAGAGCCGTTTTCGAGAAAATTCTAAAAATGTGTAAAATCGATGATATAATGGCACTTCCGAATAGTCAATTTTGGCGAAAAAGTTCCTGTGAAATTCCAAGCATGTAACAACGTTAAGTACTCAATTTCAGTCGCCTATGACTAATCATTCTAGAGCTAGACTGTTCTCACACAACTCAAAACCTCAAACATGTTTTTCCGTTAACTTAGATTCGAAAATTTTGACGATCGCAATACTTGCCCTCATTATACATTACATATATAGTAAGTGAAAGTAAAAATGGTAAATAGAGGTTGCGTAGCACGAATGTTCCTCTTATGACGGTCGAAATATTTATTATAAAATTGAAAGTTAAAAAAAAAAATTCAAAACCATTCCGGCTATTATCCAACAAAACGTTCTGATATAGTGTGAAGGAGCTACTCAATCACTATTACTAATTCCATTAATTGCGAAAAAAGTGTTTTATTAATCAATAAAGAAATGTTTTAATTAAAAAAATTAGCTTTGAAGTTTCCTTGCCTAAACATCACAATAATTTTTTATTCTTATTAAATATACTATTTGTTTGATTATTCTGTAAATATATTTACTTGATGTTAAACAAAAACATGAATAAGTACAGTTTCATTTTTATTAATAATGATTATATTACTGTTACATCTTTTAAGTCAAGCATGTCACTTGTACACTATGACGCTTTTATACCAATTGTATTTAACCAAGATAATATAAAACACATATGATTGAAGGATACAACAATAAACAAATCTCTCTATTATATAAAATATTTTATAATGACAGTCATATTTTATTTTTCAATCTCAAGAAATTAAGATGCTGGGATTCTCTCCATTATATAAAAAAGTATTACACGGTCACGTAATATTTTATTTTCCAATCTCACCAGATTAAAATGCTGGGATTCTCTTTATTGTATAAACAATATTTAGTGACCGTGTAATATTTTATTTTTCAATCTCAAAAAATTATAATGCTGAGGTAAAGACTTGAAATTCATTTTTCCCTGCTTATATTAAAACAAATAATACGATCAGAACTATTCAAACGAACTGATACAGTTATGAGATTTTTATTTTCTACTTTTGACATAATAAATTGGGTCTGAGTTATTTTGATAGTTTAATGTGTTTTTCCATTGATAAATACCAAAACCAAACAAAACCAAAATTCACAAATGTGTTTTTTAATGTTTAGGTTTATTAAAAATGCACTTAAATTTTTTAGTGAGAGACCAAATTTGCCAGAAAATTACTTATAATTTAATGTAGAGCGGTAAGTGAAAGTTATGTGATGTACGCACCAGATTTTTTTTCTGCTTACATTACATTGAAAAAATAATATCCTGAACTACAGAATACAGGTAAATTACAATTTAGTAACGAGTAGTACTTAATTGTACAAATGAACAGTTGTATAATTTGTAAAATGGGGGTTGGACCGCTATTAGGATACCTCCCTGTTAAATAAAAAAAATATGGAGCGATGCCTCACATAACTTTCACTCAACAAGCAAATTTTGGTAGATATTTTTAAAAAAATTAATAAACCTCGTCTAAATAT